TATATATATATGGACCTGTTCGCAGTTGCACACTTGGGTATTCGGCTATGATTTTACCGTGCAAACGTAGAGATGTAGCTCGCTTGTGTGTATTGCTGCACGTTCCATTACTTGCCTAGATACATTCACCTGTTCAAGAAGGATGTTTGTCATTTCTCAACTTTCGGTTTGTTGTTTTATGGTGAATACTGCTCAATAGAATATTAGATGTGGGCGGACAACGCTCGGAAAGGAAAAAGTGGATACACTGCTTCGAAAATGTGACGGGAATCATATTCTGTGTGGCGTTGAGTGCTTACGACCAGATGTTGCAAGAAGACCACGAGACGGTAAGTTGACCTTTTCATCATTATATATATACACATATTTCGTCTATAGACCTATCGCATTGTGACGGGCGATATGTGCCTGTTTTTCTGATCAGGCTCGAGTAGATTTGTCGCAATAGCAGCAAGCCCATGTATCTGGCTATTAAAACAGATGCAGATGCAGATGCTTCTGTTAATTAGAATATAGGCCAGGAAGATGCCTGCATCCACTCTATTAATTGCTAACCTTACGCTCATTTATAAAATCCAATCATGATGTTACGTATGAAATCAGTCTGTATCTTTATGATATGATTTTTAGGCATAGCTGGTCAGTTCGGTACATCTGGGCCTAGTTCTTATCTACTATTTGTATACGCGCCTATAATTTATCCGTACTTCCGTAATTTTCACTCGAGGTTCAAAAGTCATCGTAGTCCTTTGCACACGGACTTTAGGGCTCAACTCGTCCATCGAGTTCTTCGTCGCTTACTAAACCATGACTCTATTTGTAGGTTCACCTTTATACAATCATCAATAGACAGTCTATTTGCGTGAGATTCGACTTGTGAGAATTAGTACGTTGCTTCGGTGATAACTTGGTGTAAGAGCCCACAATGAATTTTCCATGCGATGTGCCTCGATTCTCACTCTTTGCAAGCAGACATGTGTATCACTACTGTAGGTGTGATATCTGGTTATCACAAACGAAACAAGGTCATATGTATACTCGCACATACTTGTGAATAATCGAATTGCTCTTGTTTGTCTAGCTCTAACGAAGTACATCACAAGCTGGCAGTGTGTGATATATCATTAGCCAGGTTCGCTTGTACACGTACTGGTCGGATCCAAATAACCTTATTTCGAATATAAAAAATGAGGGTTAAATAAGTATTACGATCGAAGACTTAGCACTTTGTAGCCTCTGGTATATACTTTGGCCTTTCTCTCATTTATTTGAATACAAACACTTGCATTTGCACAGAATCGTATGCACGAGAGTTTAAAGCTTTTTGATTCCGTAGCGAACAGTCGGTGGTTTGCGCAATCAGCGATTATCTTGTTGCTAAACAAAACGGATCTTTTCGTCGATAAAATCACGAGAGTGCCCTTAAACGTGTGCTTTCCGGACTACGAAGGTGGGTTACTAGTCGCAGCTATTCTACTAAGTGGTTAAGGCTATTTGATTGTTTTTGATTTTGTTTTGCCGAAGTCTGTTCAAATCATCGTGCCACTAGAGCTAAATGTCATGTTTTCGTATGATGATTTAATGTTTTCTTATGATATTGTTTGCTATATCATAATAGCGGTAGGAGGATTTATACTTTTGTGTGAAGTGTTCGAAAAATTAGCTTGCTTCGACTGCTTAACTTCTCTGCTGACACCTGCCTGCGCTCTTAATCCTTTCTACCCACACAGGCAATAATGACTTCCAAGAAGCTATCGAATATATCCGAGATCAATACGAATCGCTCAATCGCACACCCCAACGGACGCTTATCTATACCCACCTGACGTGTGCTACGGACACCGAGAATGTCAGATTTGTGATGGATGCAGTTACAGACACAGTAATCCAAACCAGAATGCAGGATACAGGTTTCATTTAATACTGGGGTACAGTTTTGAATCTCGGCCTTATCTTTCTGAGAATTTGTAATAAATGAGAATGGTTTCGGAATATGTACGAACGCTTTTCGTGTGAATGGCAGCGATAATAATCATCTAAGAAGATCGGGAAGTATCAAATCGCTCGCTCGCTTTTCTCGGCCATCGATACCTCAACTTTATGCCTAAGCAGCCGCACACTGCCAACTAATTTAATGGACTGCATTTGCGATATCAACTACGTCAATCCGATACAATGGGTGCAGTTTTGTCTGTCACACAATTTTTTGAGAGGTATTCCTGTACCAAGTTTCGGCCTCCGTATAGGAATCGCTTAAATTGAGTGTTCGCCGCATTGCGCTTGTTTGGAATCAGCTACCAGATTGTATGCCGGTTCCCTGATCTGAACTGGGTACTGCAGTATCTTGATAACATTCTGGTATGCGTGTAGCTTTTTGTCGCAGGCAGTTGCAAGCGCTGCAGGTGGTGGGATAAGAAAAAGCGATGGTTAACAGCCATGAGTGGGTGTGGAAAATACACTACGCATGAGAGTGGGTACGCTGCTGAATATACTATACGAAGGCCAAGGCGCTGAGACTCACCTTTAGTCCGTTGGTAGTGAGCAACCTTGAGATCTTCTTCCTTGACGAGCTCGTAGTAGGAAAGTTCTTTACCTGATGCGCTGCGAAGGCGATCCATCAGCAACCCTACCTCAGCTTCCGACTCCGAAGCCTGGATTTCGTTTAAGTTTACACAACGAAAATAAATATTATTAAGGACAACCGCTTGTATCCTCTGCGGCTACGGTAAAATAATCGGCAGGAATGTGCGTCACTATTCCGTTCTTCCACTGCCAGGAGTGAAACACCAACATACCATTCTAAGTTTCTTTTGTAGAGAACAGAGCTCTTTTTCGGTCTTGTTCGCGCCACCTTTATCAGTGAGGGTACGAGCAGATTGGTCGCACTCTCCGATGGACCTCTGAATATTGTGCACTTGATTTGCCCAATGCGCCAGCTATTTTGACAAGGCGCGGAGCATTACGTTAGTTCTCTAACCTTATAGAAGCTTACAAAAAAGGCATAATTTGTACTTGCTGAATGCTGTCCAATAAACTCACCGTTTCATCTATATCATCCAGATACTCAACGTAGCAAATCGCCGTCTCGACGTATGCCAATAAAAACGACAGGCGTTCTCGGTATTCGCGCTCAGCTTTGATATTCTATAGGCGTCGATGGAATGCGTGAGTAAACATCGATTAGTACTATGAACAGATTTTAGAGACACGGGTAAGAATCAGGCGCAAATCAGCAATATTTCTTTCTCACCGATTTCGCCACATCCAGCTCCAAACTTTGGGTGCACTCGGCCATTTCTGAGAAAACATTTGCCAGGTACCCACTTTCGAGGTCGCTGCTTGACATCGTACGCCATGTATCATGCATCGTCTGCGACATAGAAGTAAGTAGATTTTTGAATTGTCAGAAGAATATCCTTTGTAAGCCCGATCAGCTATTTTTATGACATGCCGGAATTCAGCCCTTAAATGAGTATGTAGCAAAGGAATATAGTATGGAGTGTTGTACCTCTTTCGATTTTGCAGAATCTTGGATGGTTTTGAGGACTCTGATTTCTTTCGTTGAACAGTCAATCAGTTGTTCGAGAGCACGAGCCGTTCCTGTCATGCAAGTCAACGCACGAACACTAAGAACATGTATGTTAGTACCTGAAGACTTATTTTTCGACTCCTGTCGACGTTTGGGAACAATCCATTTGTGCACCAAAATTTAAATCTCTCACTCATCACAGCTGCACTTCCAACATAAATGGCAACACCGACAACCAATACTCACTTTCGAGCGCACCGCCGGAAGTCACTGCAGCGATATATACGTGGAGGTTTTGAGCCTCTCAGTTTCTTGAATATCCGTAGCTCTGCGTCTGTTCCACACAGAAACACGTGGAAGACAGGCAGCATCTTGATTTTCTCATGTCGGCAACAACGACTCATGAAATCCTGTAGTACTCTACCCTTCTTAGCTAGAAATCGATCGTCATGTCTATGCAAGTATAGAGCATTGCCAGACGATGGTAGGGCAGGTATGATGAGTTCCAGGTTCTCTTGTCGGAGATGCTCGTATAACCATTCGAAATCTGTCAACTTTCTTCTGGTTTCGAACACGTTGACTCGAAGCTGAGGGATGTTAGTCTGCCCACACATAAGCCAGCTAGGGCACGACGTTAAGCTGTTGCGTTTCTCAGGATCGTGCAAACTTACAGCAAGCTCATTTAAAAAACTGTGACAAATCGCAGATGAGTACGAACGGGCCTTCTTCTTCCGCTCCTCTGGGGGTGTCTTTGGTGTGACGTGACTGCGAGTCTTGTGCAAATTCTTGATCCGATTGATAGCATCATGCTGTACAATAGGGGATGTTAGACTTGTTGCAATAGTCTCGCTGGAGCTCGAAAATTTCGAGCTTGTAAGGGAGTGGGGCGAGGTGGGCGAGCACGGCGAAGTGGTCGGCGATGAAAGGATCATAGAAACATCGCTATCGCAATCATCGGAGACAGGAGAAAATACAGTACTTGCCGCGCTTGTTCGTCTCTTTCGCCATTCCGACTGATCACATGGGTCTAACGTGGATACGAAGGGACTGGTTGATCTTCTATGATTTTGTATTTCAGGGAGACTGAATTGCGGCTTCACAACATCACACTCACTGTTCTCATAGATTACGAACTTTCTGGTTGGAAGCGTTGACGTTGACGACGACTCTTGAAATGGATTGTCGAAGTAGTACTCGGGTGACGGAGCAGAGCGCCCAGGATTGACACAGGATATATTTGACTCATCCGTATCTTCATCGTCATCCGAAATAATCTGTGCCATTCGGAATGGTACTCCATAATCTGGAACGAGAAGAAGGCCCGACAGTCGTGAGGACGAGGGGTGGCCATGTAAGTACAAAGAAAAGAATTATATACACACATACACACACATACACAAACATACACGCACATACACAGAACCAAACACACAGATACACACACAAAGACACACACACCC